GAAGAAAAAAGGAAACATCAATAAGATTATGTGAATTATGCATCAATTTCACATGCTTTGGCTCAATTGAAATGCTAATGGACAGCAACTAAACAAATATTCCTTCATTCTGTTTTGGATTTACAGAGTGTTCACATTATCTGTGAAACGTCTGCAAAATTCAATTTCCCTGTAACAAATATAATTTTTGTTCACTTGTCTTTTAAAAACATTTTTCTACTTTATTTAGGAACAACCAACATATTATTATGAAGGTAAAAGGCCTTAAAATAGATTTTCCAGATTATTCTTTCAGGCACCATCATTTTCCTGTTTGTGTATGGATGTATTTTGCGTTTAGCTCAGTTAGTTTACTTATTCATCTATGTGTCTCTCTGGCCATGACATCTGCATCAGTCCTGTATTTGATCTGCAGAATATCTGGCATCTTGGCAATGGGAGAACAAAACAGAATAGTTAGAAACACAGAATAGCACCATAAAAATAATATAGAAATCCACTTTCGAAGTTTGTGGACAGGATATTTCATGAAACCTTATTTTGGATATTTATTGTTCTTTTATTTTAATTAAATTTGTGTCTTTACCTTGCTTTTCTTATGAGAACTTACTGAACTCAATATATTTTTAGTTATGGAATGGTTTTATATTCATTCTAAAACTTCTGCTTTTATTAATGGTAAATTGCACCTTAAGAAAGTAATATAGTTAATTGCTTTTTTTTAAAAAAAAGAGTGAAATCAAATATTTTCTGAGTGTCTGGCAAGCTCATGGAATGGACATTTATCTGTCTTTCTCTGGCAATCTTACTCTCTTACTAAAAAAATATTTCCAGTGATTGGAAGCCTACCGAACACTGTGTAATGTATCTCATAGTACTGCAATGTAAAGGGGATATCACTCAAAATTAAATTGACAATTTTCTACCCCGATTTTGGTGATTCTTCCTTCTATTGTAGCTCCCTAAAATATAGGTTATAATATTTAGCATATTCATTAACTTTCTTGATATAGGGATTCTAGATCTAAAAAAATTTGCTTAACCAATTTCTCCCTTAACTTTTGTTTCTAAGTTAGTTCTACATCCAAGTTCCTATTTGTTGTGTATTTTAATTAACTGTTTAAAAAAAAAAATGTACTGAAACAGCCACGGATGTTTTCCATCACTGTTGTTTCTTTACCGTTAAACAGATTTTGCTCCAATGTATTGTCGAAGGCTTTCAATGTATTGTCGAAGGATTTTGCTCCCTTTTTCATAGCTGCTGCTGCTGCTGCTGCTGCTGCTTCTTCTTCTTCTTCTTCTTCTTCTTCTTCTTCTTCTTCTTCTTCTTCTTCTTCTTCTTCTTCTTCTTCTTCTTCTTGCATCCAACTGTATTTATATATGAATATTTAGCAAAGGTTATCTTTTTAAAGTGTCTATGAATGCAGATTTAGGCAATTGAAAAATATCTTTGTTCAGCATAAACCTCTATTCTATTTTCATATTTTTCTTCTTTCATAAATGGATTGACTGTATTTACCTATAAATAGAGACAGTATATTCAAATTAATGAGACTCTTTTTAAGTGTAATAAAACTATGGCAAGTATAACACATCAGTAAATCAATAAAGCTGATAAAAACAAGTATTGTTGTTAAGAAATTAAAATATTGATTTCTTTTTGTTAGTCAATAGAAGTTGAGAAATATTGTCCAAGTCACTCAGCAGCTTATGCTTTAGTATTATCTAAATCATACAAATTTCATCTTGTGAACTTATACCATCCACAACTGCTATAATTACAGTACAATTAAATGTGGTTGTTCCATAAGCTATAACATGCACCCTTCTTTTATACATTGCAATTTTTGGATTTATATGGCTAATATGGCTAATATGAAAAGAAAAATTAACTAAACTGAATTAAACATTGTTGAATGGTCAGGAAAGGAATGGATTACAACAGTTTATGTGCTATATATGTAATGTAAGATTTGTGGTAACATCGGGGAAGATTCTACTTGAGGTCTTAGATAGTAAGAGGAGAGTGATGAGTTTTATGGTCAAGTTCAATCTGAAATTGACAGAACGTGCAAGCAAGATTTGCTGTTTGTGGTTGGAGACCGGAATGCCAAAGTTGAAAATAGTAAGGAGGAAATGCAACTAGCCATAGGAAATTAAGCAGAATGACTTATCCGTTTTTACCAATCCATGATTTCTTCATTGCTAACACAGTCTTCAAACAACCAAAACAATGCATATATACTTACATGGATATCACCAGATGGAGTACACAGGAATCAAACTTCCTAATTATTGGTATAAAGAGGTAAAAGACTTCAACTGTAACAGCAAAGACATGGCCAAGAACAGATCTCAAGCTTGCTCATGTGCAAATTCCAAGTAAAGCTAAAGGAGAAAAACAAAGCCAATCAGTTTCCACAATATGATCTTGAGCATATATTTATCATTTTCAAGAAAAACATTCTGAATTGCTTGGAGGTCCTGAACCTCATGGATAGGGAACCAGAGGAATTATGGAATGAATTTAAAGAAATTAAGGATGAATATGAAAAGTGACTGCTGAAGATCAAGAAACAGAAGAAAGCAAACTGGATATTAGAACAGATGGTGAAAATTGCCAAGAAGAGAAGGCAAAGCCAAGAAAGACAAAGATGTCAAGAAGAAATGTTATAAAGAATCTCAGAGACAAAAAGCAGTATTACAGCAACATCTGTAAAAACATCAAAGATGGAAAACAAACAAGGAAAAACAAAGAACTTTTTCCCAAACTCCAAAGTCAGAAGACGATTCCAAATTAGAATAAGTAAACTAAAGGAGTCAATGGACAGATAGTAAATGATTCAAAGAAGATCAAACAAAGATGGAAACATTCTGAGGGAAGATGGAAGTACTGAAATTTTGTACAGTAGAGATATCAACATCCAAGATACCTCAGAGGATATTTCCCATTTACAAGAACTTCTTTTACTAGCAAATGAAGTTAAATCAGCACTCTGGTCATTACCATGTCAGACGACTACAGAAGGCTGATAGAATATCTATGGAAATACACCAAGCAATAGAAGAAGAACCAGTAAACTAACCTTGCTAGTAAATATGGACAACAGTACAGTAGCCAACAGATTGGAAGAGGTGAGTCTACATACTAATACCAAAACCAAAACCAAAACCAAAGAAAGGAGACTTAATAGACTGTGCAAGATATCATACAAAATCCTTAATTTCACATGCTCTCAAAATAATGGTTAGGATCATTCAACACAGATTAGAGGTCTACGTGGAAAATGAGATGCCAGTTGTCCATGCTGGTTTTAGAAAAAGTTGGAGACCAAGAGATACTAACACATGCTGGATAACTGAGAAAGAATACCCAAAGAAAAACCAAAGAATACCCAAAAGGGTCAATAAGCGCTTCATTGATTATAGAAAGGCCTTTGAACGTGTTGACCATGACAAGCTGTGGAATGTCCTTAGGAAAATGGGAATTCCATAATATCTCATTTTCCTCATGTACAACTTGTATATAGGACAGGAAGCCACAATCCACACAGAACATGGCAAAACAGACTAGCCCTAGGTCAGCAAAAGAGTAAGAAAAAGCTGTTCTTTTTTTCTTTTTTTGGTGCCTTCAAGTCAGTGTTGACTCCTGTGACTGCCTGGACTAATCCCTGCAGTTTTCTTGGCAAGATTTTCAGAAGTGGTTTGCCATGGCCTTCTTCCTAGAGCTGAGAGAAAGTGACTAGCCCAAAGTCACCCAGCTGGCTTCGTGCCTAAGGCAGGACTACCATTCATAGCCTCCCAGTTTTTAGCCTGGTGTCTTAACCACTACACCAAACTGGCTGTATACCTTTTTATTTATTCAATCTATATGCTGAATATATATGGAGCATGGTTTTGTAAATGCTCATTCACTACTATTCTGATAGTTGAAAATGCAAATGAGCTGGAAGCTCTAGTGATGAAAATCAAGGTGCATAGTGAAAAAATGGGGCTATGATTAAATATAAAGAAGACCAAGCTAATAATAGATATAGCAACCAACCTTAGAGTTGACAATCAAGATATTGAAGTGATGGATAGCTTCTGCCTTTTAAGATCAACAGTAAAGGAACCAGCAGTCAAGAACTATGCTCAGATTAGTACATAGTAGGCTAGTACTGAAGCTTTGGAAAAGATATCCAGGTGTTGGAGAAGACTGTTGAGGATATCATGGATAGCCATGAAAACAAACAAATGGATTACAGAATAAATCAATCCAGGGTTCTCATTCAAAGCACAAATAACTAGACTTAAATTATCATATTTTGGACACATTGTATGAAGATCTAGCTCTCTTGAGAAGCCTATAATGCTGGGAAAGGTAGAAGGAAAGTGAAGAGGAGGACCAGCAGCAAAGGGTATGGATTCAATTATATTAGCATTGGGTGCATTATTGGAAAACTAAACTATTATTCTGGAGAAGGTCTATCTATATAGTCACTAAAGGTTGACACTGACTTGACAGCACATGATCAATCATTCAGTAGGAGGTCCAGCTGAAGTAAGACCAAACATACTTTTCTACTATTTATTTTATTAAATGTATATCTCATGGCATGGTTAAGATCATTATCTGCTGGTTGTAGGCTTAGTTATATCAAAGTGGAATTTTGCTGTTTTTGTGGTTAATCTGGATTGGGTCAATGTGTCCTTAACTGAAAAAATAAACAACAGTAATGGGAGGCAGCTACATATTTGTTCTCCAGTTTTCATGGTCTATCTGTGTATCTGTCTTTCTGTCTCTCTGTCTCTGTCTCTCTCTCTCATCTATCTATGCACATTATTTCTTTAAAAAATGAGAAAGTAAGCATTTGCCCCCAGAATATGGCACAGAGAAGTGCTGGGAAAAGAAATGAAGACAGATAAATAGGGAGAAAAGAATTATGGTACTAACATATAATTAGATTTAATTTACAGGCACGTATGTTGATTAACAATTGTATTTTCTTTTGTTTTAGAAATCTATTTTAAGGTATACTTTGTTCTCAGAAGATGCTGTCCAGGTAAGCTAAACACTTTTAATGGGATGACTCTGATTTGGGGAACAATCCAGGCTCATGTTTTTGAACAGCTTCCTGCAATCTAGTGTCATTCAGCTATATTGGAATTATAGTTCCTAGAATTTCTGCCAACTTAGCCAACAAATATCTCTGGGTAGGTTGATTCAAGAAAGATGGAGAGGCGGGAGCTCTCTCTCATCAGTTGTATCCCAATGGTTGATTAACTGTACCATGTTTCCTGGACAAATTTCAATGATTTGACAAGAGTGGGCACAGTTGGCCTTATGAAATTCTTTATCAGATTTGTAGGCTGAGAAACTGATTGGACAATTTCTCCAAATTGTTCCTGGAAAAGAAGTAATTTTACAGACTTTGTTGTCGATGGGATTTGTCCTTAGTGATGACACAGGAGAAGTTAAATACTTGAAATGCCTTAAAGCTGTTGGCGGAGGAATCCTTCTAAATACATATATCGGTAATATTCATCTTTACAACATTTATAATATTTATTAGGATTTTAAACCATCTATTTATATCAATATTGTCAGTATCACAAATAGCCAGCAACCTGGGTTGCAATAGCCCTTACTGGAGGCTGCTGGGGGCTGGATGGTAGGGACAGGCTCAGGGTCAAACTTGATCCCCATCTGATTGTGGGGACACTCCATCTTACACAGAGTTGGGCTTCCTGTACAGAACAGGTACATTTGTGAAATTCTTCTGGACTCATAGCTCCTGTTGAAGAGAAGGTGGCAGCTATGGCTTAGAGGGCTTGGCATAGCTTCATCTTGTATGCAGGTCTGTTTATTTTTAAAAGATCTTCAAAGTCTTGCTTCCTCTGCTTTATAAAAGGTGAATCATTCTTTAATAATGATATTTTAAAATACCATCTTGAAAAAAGGACAACTTTTTCTTACAACAAATGATAGTGTTACTGGAGCATGGTCAGGTCAGATGTTGCAGTAGGGCCTATATTACATTTATCTATCTGATCAACTAAGGTTTGAGATAATAAAACATAATCAAGCTGGGAATAAATCTGATTAGAGTTGGGAAAAAAGGTATATCATCTCTGTGAAGGATTTAAAACTTGCAATCTAGCCATCAAATTAATGGTAACATATAAGTGTAATCCTTCTCTAATTTGAGAATTAAATTTAGCTGGAACAGTATTATGATCCAACAAAAGAACTATAACTTGATTAAAATCTACAGCCATAATTATCTCATCCACAGCTAAACCAAACCAAACCAAACCAAACCAAACTGATATTCAAAATACTTGGGTAAAATATCTGGTTGATCCTTTGTAGGGCTATAAATAATAAATGCAATATGTATCAAAACATTTAATCACTAGTATGATAAATATCCTACTAGATCACTTAGTTCTTTTTCCACATTAGGTACGTATATTAAGCTTATCAGTACTATATTTTGGCTATGCTGATATAAGATTTGCAGCTATAGTGTAAGATTCAGTTGTTCTGCAAACACAAGGGTAATCTGTAAAAGTTCACATGCTAGAGTTGCCAGAACCCCTTGGACTAGAAACTGTTGGCTTCTTCTCTCTGGTTGACTAAGACAATCAATGTCTTTGATATTGTGAAATTGCAAAGTAATTAATTCCGTTGGAGTTAAGGGTCAAAGTTATTAGGAGAACAGTAGATGTTTTTGCTGGGACAAAGAGAACAAAGTTTATTTGTTACAGGTCAACTAAATGTGTTGCTTTGGTGTTTTGCCTGGAAATTAATAGAAAATAGGAGTGGGAAGAGATTTCTGTGCATTTAAAGCCTATTCTGTTATTTCATGGCTTCTCTATGTAGATTTAAAAATTAATCTACTAGAAAGAAAACAACCAAAGGATAGGTTCTGGCAAAACCACCTGAGAAATTTCCATGGTATGTGTATCTGTACACACTGAAAACCTATTTTTTCTCTGTTTAGGAAGTAAAACTTCCTACAACACTCACAATGAGTGAAAATTATTCTCCTTTTACCAGAATCTCAATCTGGAAATTCTAGTCAGAAATTAGCACATTTTACAGGAGCATCATATAGGCTAGCCTTTCCAACTAAATACCCTCCAGGTATGTTCAATTACAATTCCCAGATAATCAGTTTCAGGAAGAAACATCCATGTTTCTCAACCGTGACAACTTTAAGATGTGTGGATTTCAATTCCCAGAATTCCCCAGCATCTTATAGGTGACAAGGTTGAGGAACACTGAAGTAGGTGATGTTAGGGTTGAGCAGTTCATGCCTTATTCAGGGCTGTCCCAGTAGAAGGCTACAGAATTAGCACCATGCTCTTAATGAATGAGTTCTTGTTGGTACCCCTGTCTTCCCAGCTCTGCAAAAGTTTAAGACTGAAAAAAAATATGTTAAGAGCTTATAACATTCGACTCCGTGTCTTAGAACTCATCATCTTTCTAGTCTTTTCAGTCTGTATAAAGTGTCGATTGGATTTAGCTCCCTGCTGAGGCAACATCCTCTTATAGAAGTGAGGATGGCGTGAAATATAAGAAAATATGCTGGCAACAAATTTTTATGAATCAGCAGTTTGCCAGAATAATTGTTAGAATTAAAAACTGAAGGAAACAGTTCTACCTCTAATGTTGGAATGGTCAGATGAGATGTAAGACTTATGGCAGAAAAGGATAAGCCTCTGCCTGCAGTAGCTCTACTACTGTTTTCTAGTAGCAAAGTGGAGTTTTGCTAGTTTGCACTAAGAAGACGGTCTGTCTTTAGCAACTATGAGATAGACCAGTGTTGTCCAAACCTGGCCACTTTAAGATGAGTGGACTTCAACTCCCAGAATTCCCCAGCCAGCCAAACCGGCCTGGGGATTTTGGGGGTTGGAGTGCAATCATTTTTAAGTGGGCAAAGTTTGGCAAAACTGAGTTAGACGGT